GCACCTGCCTGACAAGTGCGAGGTTGTGAGCTTGATCACTGGTACCAAAATATATATTCATATATATGTATATATATTCATAATTTTCTTGATTTATATCTTTTTTGTATAGGGGGGCAATACTTACTCCTAGAAGGAAGTAGGAATGATTCTGTCTTCTTTTACATGTTAGAAAATGTTTTGAAGGTTTAGTGATATTGCTTATTTTTATTTTATTTTATTTTTTGTCTTTTTCCTTTTTATGGGTACCGGGGATCGAACTCATGACTGCCTGCTTGCAAGGCAGGTGCTTATGCCACTGAGCTAAATCCCCAGCCCTGGTATTGCTTCTTTAATCCGTTGGCAGATTTCACCAGTGAAGCCATCTGATCATGAGATTCTCTTCATCCCACCAAAGAGAAAACAAAAGGCTCTTCTTCTGTGAGAAGTTTTGGTCAATAACTCAATCATTCTATTTAAATAGGTCTGTTCAAGGTTTTGTTGTTTCTTCAGTTTCTAGAACCATATCTATCATCTAGGTTATCTAAGTTATTGGCAAATAATTTTTTGGTTTTCCCTTATAATCCATTCCATTCTAATAATAATCCATTCCATATCAGTAATAATCCCACCCTTGTTTGAGACACAGTTTATTAGTTCAGACTGATCTTGAACTTGCTGTGATCCTCCTGCCCCAAAGTTCCAAGTGCTGGGATTGTAGACATGTGTCACCACACCCAGCCATGTCCCCTCCTTTGTTAATGATGTTTGCCCCCAAAACAGAGTCTTGCTATATAGTTAATGCTGGCCTTGAACTCACAGCTGTCTTTCTGCCTCAGCCTCCCAAGTGCTGGGATTATACCACCAAGCCCGGCACTGTTGATCTTTTACCACTGAGTTGTTTTGGTATCTAGAATACAATTTAGGGCTTCATGCTTGCCAGGCAGGCACTGGGCTCATAAGCTGCTAAGCTGTCTCCACAGGATCGTTGTTAAAAACTAATTTTTGGCAGTGTTGATTTTCTCTATTGTTTTTCAATTCTCTGTATCACCTTTTTCTGTTCTACTCTTTACTGTTTCTTTCTGCTATCTTTTTTTTTAAGTTTCTTGGATTTTTTTCCTTGTTTACTCAGAGCTTTATATTACTGATGAGAATTTTTAATATTTGCATGTGTGTGTATACCTTTCCTAAAGTGTTGGTGCTGGGTGTCTTCTTTCACAGTGATGTTGAGGTATTTCCTCATGTCTGTTATTTCTTCTTGACCTGTTAGTTGCTTATATATGCTTAATTTCTATATTTAGGAATTTACCAAACTTCTTCCTGTCATTGATCTGTGATTTCATCCCACCTTCTTTAGAGAACATATTTTGTGTACTAGTCCTTCTAAGTGTATTGAGACTCGAAGTAGGTGTGATGACACATGCTTGTAATCCCAGCATGGGAGGTTCAGCAATGAGGACTGCAACTTCAAGCACATGCTGGGGTACATAGCAAGCCTGGAGCTGATTGGTATTGCAGAGAGACCCTGCCTCAAAAGAAACAAAGAATGGATGGACACTTGACCTAGTCTATCTCAATAGACCTGGCTTAATAGTAAAAGGTCCCAAGGGTCTTGAGACACATGCATGTGGCACTCACAGGTCTTTTCAATGTGCCCTTAAGAAGACTGTGTTTCTTCTTGTTTTTACATTGTTGTTGGGAAATGTCCTATACAGGAATGTTAGGTTTGGTTGGCTTATAATAAAGGCTTCCTTATGGAGCAGTCACTTTTAGGGATTTTGTTTTTAGCCTCTTTTTTTTTTTTTTTTTTTTTTGGTTTTCTATCCACTTTTTTCCTACATTTTTTTCACTTTCTCTTTTCCACAGGATCTTTTACAGACATACAGAATCCCCAAAGGGAACACTGCTTTATGCATTTTAAGGTTTATTCATAGGTAATCAAAGAAAATGGTTTTTTAACCTATGAATCAGCTCCATACCAAAAAAAGAATATCAACTTTTTATGTAATTTCATGCATATTGAAAATACAGATAACTTTTATCCCATTGCATTTTTCAGAATTCTCAATAATAATCCTCTGACAACTATCGAAGATCCATCACTTTTTACATTACAAGCATTAAATTATCTGTAAGTATTGCCATAACCTTTAAGTCATAATATGACTTTGGCTCTTCTTGCTTCCTTCCAAGAATGGTACAGTATTGTACTTTGATCCTACAGGTCATAAGTTTAATTTTAATCAGGTTATTCACAAAGAGAAGGATTAAGATGTATAATGGGCAAGAGAGTCAGCAGGGATCGGGAGCACCACTGAGGAACACGGTAGACACGGATCACATCAGTGGATGCAGGAACACCATTACCCCAGGAAACATAGTGGCCTTGTTACTAAAAAGAACAACACAGTGAGAGATGTGAATGCAATATAAAAATGTGAAGTATGATGGTGACTGAAACACAGATGCAGCATCTACTATGCAATGCCAAGGTCATTCATTTGATGATGAAAACATTAAATTTGAATTTTTGCATGAAGACTTCTCTGGGATTATAGTTCATGTAAAGTTATGTGCTGGCTTGTTTCACTGGGAGGCAAAAGTGCAATAATAAGATATCCTTCAAATACCTGTTGAAGCACAGACTTTTGGCATTGGGCTTCCTCATTTCTGTCTGGCTTTCTTCTTCAGGGACTTGGGACAGACGCATGTGTCACTCACAGTACTGGAGAACATCCTCACGAAGTCTCTTGAATTGGAAAGACTGTAAGTTAGTTTTTTTCTCAGATCTGTTTCTCTTGGGTTCATTGTTGTTGCTAGGTTTGTTTTACTATTAAGTCAGGCTTATGGACGTGTGATTTCCATGTCACAAAACTCACATGTTTGAGGAGTTTGTGTGGTTATGTAGCCACCACCACACCCCTGCTGTAAAACATCTGGGTCACCTTCAGAAGGCAGCTCATGTCCTTCACAGCTGGTTCACTCTATCTATCACGGCTCCCAGAATCTGCCAGTCTTTATTTCTGCCCTGTACGTTTACATTTTCTGGAAGGTCTTATAAATGAAATCATGCAGTGTGCAGCCATTTGTGTTTGGCTATTATCCACTTAGGATAATCATTCATACATCCCACGTGCAGTCTATGGGAGTTCAAATGGCAGCTAGGCGTGGCGGCCCAGGCCTGTAATCCTAGCACCCAGGGAGACTGAGGCAGGAGGATGGCAAGTTCAAAGTCAGCCTGTGTATCTTACTGACAGTGTGACCCTGTCTCAAAATGAAAATGCATAAATACATGTAAAAGCTGGACAAAAAGAGAGGCTGGAGACAGCCCAGTGTGAATGCCCTCAGTGTAATCGCTAGTACCCCAATCAAAAACAAAGAAAAGAGTTACCACATCATCTTTACCTGATCCCTGCATTTCAGTCTATAAAAAAGGTAAGCCTTTTTAACACCATGTATGTGGATCTATCTCATTGTAGCTTAAGTGTGCATTTCTTTACTAGCTAAGCTAATGATGATTATCTTTATGAGTGCAGATATTATTTTTTAAGTACTTGGCCTTTCTTACTGAGCTATGACCTCCCCTTCCACATTTTTCATTTTGTTATTTTGAAGCAAGGTCTCACCATGGATTTATGTTGCCCAGACTGGGCCAAATTTACAAACATCCTACCTCAGTTTCCCAGAGCACTAGAGTAGAACAGAAATCTTAACTTTAAAAATTTTGATGAAATAGAATTTAGCAAGCTTTTGTTCTTTCAGGCCTTTTCTTGTCTTACCTAAGAAATCTTTGTTTTATGTGCCCATTGTTTAACCCATGGCTACGAGATTTTCTCACTTGCTTTCTTCCAGAATTGCGCTGTGTAACTCTAGTCATACTTAGGTCCGTGATTATTTTCAGAGGTGCTGGGGATTAAACCCTGGTGCTTGCACTAGCATTTTTTATTGGTAGTTTTGAGACAGGGTCTCACTAAGTTGCTGATCTACCTGGGCTGGGCTCCAATTGGTGATCCTCCTGCCTCAGCTTCTGAGTGTTAGGATTACAGGTAGGTTTATGATCTATTGTGAGTTAATTTTCATGCAGAGTGTGAAGTATATTACTGTACTACTGTATGTAGTGCCCTGTTTTGATGGTTTTTATACCACTGACTGCAACTTGAATTGTGCCATCCTCCTCCAATATAGCAAGCTAAATAGAAGCTCGCTTAGTAGTGAAGTAGTTGAGGGTTTGCAAGACACCTTTCATTTAGCAGTCTGCGCTCATTGTTTCTGTCAGGTCACCTCCTCAACTGACTTCCCACACTGCCAAACCCCTTGGTTTCTGCTCCAGGCTCGTCTTCCTCAACTTCCTGCAGCACCTGCTTCCCTTCCCACCCACATTAGCTAGACACCATCCTTTCCAGAGCCACTAGTAATTCATGGCTGCTTTCATCACGTAGTCATTGCTCCCTCATCCTCCTCTCCCTTCTGTATTTTGAGATACTATGGATCAAACCCAGGACTTGAGCACACTAGGCCAGCTCTCTCCCTCTGAGCCACTTCACCCCCACCGAGTCCTCCTTGACCTTTTGAATGCTCCAGTTGTCTAGATTTACCAAGTTTGATCTGTGTTATTAACCGCACAATATAGGTAGGGATAAACTGACTTTTTTGCCAAATGTCTCACATTTACCACTCGGAACCCAAGTTGTGAAAGGGACCTCACACATTGGAAGCTGAGTCCCACTTTTTTTTTTTTTTTTTTGGCTTTTTCATTTTTACCGGTACCAGGGATCGAACTCACGACTGCCTGCTTGCAAGGCAGGTGCTTATGCCACTGAGCTAAACCACCAGCCCCGATTCCCACTTTTTAGAAGCCGATGTACTTCCTGTGCACTCCCCACCCAGAGTGAGACTTACAAGTTGAAAGGAGATGCTTCTGAATGAAAGGACACATTCCTGTCACTCAGCACTAATCTCCAGGACCTTCATGTGAGGCCCACCACACGCACTGCTGAGCTTCCTTCTGTGGGGACCCCTCTCTCCCTCCTATTTACTCACAATATCCAAAAGCTGCAGTGGCTGTTGGCTTCCTACCCAGCCGCAAGGGCTGCCTCCAGCACTCCTTCCTGCTCCACACTGTGGAGCCTCGTCCTGCCTCTTTACCATTCAAGGAGCAGCTTTCCATTAACTCAGAACTCTGTGTCCTGTCTGCAGGATCTTACCGAGCAATATGGTCTGCTGCCTCTGCCAGTTTAAAAATGATATTGAAGTTGTCGACAAGACAGTCAAGCTGCACTGTGATAGCACATGTCTGACCAATGCCAAGCAGTGTTGTGAGTCTCAATTGCCTAATGATGCTTTCATGTTTCTTTTATTTGCTTTTTAATTTCTAAATAGTGATACAAAGGCTGTAAACTAATGATACAATTGGTTTGCACTTATAATGTGCAGTTATGTGCACTTATAATGTGCAGTGCAGCTTGTAAGCTGGTTTTTTATATATTAGGTCTCTATTCCTTCAACCTTAGGCAGGTGTACATCCGTTTTATCATCTTTTCGAAACTGTGTCAAGCCGTACTATTGTATTGGAGCCTGAGTTTCTGATTGCCTAACTACAAGTGCTTGTCTCTTCTAAGGGAATGCAGGGTTGTTCCATGCCCAGACTGTCCAAACCTGAGCTTATCATGAGTCTCAGATGACTCAGGTGCATTTAAGGATTTTTCCGTATGTCGGGTTTATTAGCTCTCACTTCATGCTTGCCACATGTGAGTGCTTTCACATCCAGAGAGCTTGAATACAGGGACAAATAATAAATAGTGGCACTACGTTTCTTATGCAAAAGAACTTTGCTTGGTTTCCAAAACAAATTTTTACCAATTACAGTATTCATTCTACCCTCAGAGGTGAGAAAAACAAGAATTTCTTGCCTCCATTTACAGATCAAGATCAGAGGTGTCAAGTGCTAGAGCCTCATGCCCAGCCCTCTGTCCGCAATTCTGGGTTCTCCAGAACCCATTTTCCTCTATGGTCATGATCCTTACCCCCTCCTCTGGTCCTCACCACCACCAGTCAATTAATTCTTCCAGAAGACAAATCAGTTACACGTTGAGCCCTTGACTTTCGTATGACAGTATTGTCAGGAGCTTTGGATGCTTAGAAATATTAGGACAGAAATAAAAGTAGGGAAAGCATCTGATCTGATAGAAGGGGCAGTTTCTCTTATACATTACCACCTTAAGTCATGTTTATACAGAAACTGCTGTTATTTTGTAGATTTGCTGTTCACTATTCCACAGAGGCAGACATACAACCAGGCAAATTAAAAATCTCTTATCCTACACTCTGGATCCCTGCTCTGATATAAGGAAGACTCGAGCAGTACAGTGTTTGGCTCTGTGTAGAAGAACCTTTTGTTATGGGACTGGACAGTGGCAGTGAACCTACCACACATGCATGGTTGTATTTTTCTCTTAAGACAAAAGACGTTCATAAGGAGTTGATTTTTCCCACCTAAAACCCCAGTATTCAGGTTTCATTGCAGGGTTGGCACTTGGCCATGAGTAAGTGGGTTAGGGTGCGGTTTGGCACTTTTTCTCTGGATGTTTGCCATCACGGTGCTAGGACACATGGAAGCAGGGACCAAGTGAAGGCACTGGGCACACAGGTGGAGCAGATGTATCCAGAAAAGACCTGTAGGCAGAAGGAGTGGGGCTTTTACATGTCTGCCTTTTTGTCCTAAGAGGACTGTCCTTCATCATGGTCATCCGAGCATAGTGAGGTAGCAACTGACCAGGTGGGGTGAGGAAGACCTGTGCTGCCTCTGCTGCTACATTGTGACATTATGGTGTTTTGGGTCCTGCGTGGGTATGCATAGAAGGTCTGCAGAGAAGCCTGCTGAGTGGGCAAGTACTTGTCAGGATGTGGCCTTTAGTGAGTACCAATCATTTGGCTAAGTTAAGTTGCTGTATTACACACTATGGAATGTTCTCAAAAAGTAGTCTCGTTAGCAAGAGAGGTCATTTTCTCTTTCTGTTGGGTTTTTGTAAGTTTAAGTTTGGATTTCTTTTTGTCTTGTCCACATGGCACTGAAATAGTTGCTGACCTCTCCCTTCTTTGACTGGTGTGTACAGCTGTGGGCCAGTAAAAAGCTGGGTGTCTATCATTCTGCCCTAACTGAGAGCAATGTCTTCTTTTCTGACAGTGGGAGACACATCCATAGTGATCTCCCAAGAATCCTTCATGAAAGCGTTACAAGCCCGGAAGAGGAGCACCAGCACCCAGCTGAATATTGAATCTGAAATGTCATCTTCACAGGAAAGTGTGACCAACCCAGTGGGCTTTACAAAAGAGCAGCTCGATATGAATGATGAAAGTGACATCATCAGTGCACTAAACTACATACTGCCTTATTTCTCCAAGGAAAATCTAGAAGGCATAGAGGCAACATTATTACCATTCATTCAGCTGCTTTTTTCAAAAGTCCAAGAGGACGCTAATCCCTTAGGTGACTTGAACCACAACAGGAGAAACTCTTTTCAACCTGCACGCAACAATTTACGTTTCACAAATAAGATGAAGAAGCTGTATCTTCTTCAAAAATTGCTGGAGGAAGGTAACCAGGAAAAAAACAATGAGGTAAAAAAGGAAGAGAAAATTCCTATGCTGCTACAGCCTAGCCATTTTCGTCCCAAATTCAGAGGCCAAATCTTTCCAAAAAAATCGGAAAATGCTGAAGCACCAGAAAACAGCCTGGCAGCAGTTGGGCATGGAAGGAAAACACTTCAGAGAGTAAAGAGAGAACTTGCGGAGAACACAAGAAAAGCTGTGTCTTCTTCAGAAAATGGCGTTTTTATTTTAGAGCATGCAAACTCTATAGTTAAAACCATGGGGGGGAATAAGCCAATCATACATTCTGGAAAAGTTCACCGTTTTCACAAAATTCACTCACGTGTGGCCCACAGAACACAGGAGACCAAGCTGAGTGAAAACCTGAGAAAGGAAAGCACACGCAGTACACTACTGCTTGCAAAGAGGCCTCCATTCCCAGCAGTGAAGAGTCACACCAGCTCCCCTTCACAACAGGTGCTCTCACCTTCAAGAGACCCGAGTATTCGGGAGAATCCTGTGTCAGAATTATATGTGCCTTTAGAGCCTTCAGTAGAAAGCACCTCTGTAGAAAACCCTGCTACAGATGAAGATTTTCAAGCAGTGGATTTTGGAGGGTATGTTAGTGTGCCAGAAAGATCTGTATCTGAAAAAACTCAGAAGGATCCTTTGGCCAAAGAGACTGCTGCGACTACACCCGACCTCACACCAGCTGTGAGGCAGGCCAGGGAGGCACGATGGCAACAACCCAACACGGGGACTGACTCACTCCCCAGGGACTTCACCTCCACACTGCTGTCAGGTGATCAGTTTGAAACTTACCGAGACCAGCAGCTGGGGCTCCTCATCCCCAACAATAACATCAGAAGGCTGATTTCTCAGGTCAGCAGGATCGTAAAAATGGACTGCTCTGAGGCCCACACGCAGCTGGCCTGTGCCAAGCTCGTCTCTAGGACGGGCCTCCTGATGAAGCTACTCAGTGAAGAGCAAAAAGTCCATGTGGCCAAGGCCCTGTGGGATGCAGAGGATCAGAAGAGTGAGAAGGACACCACTGAGAACACAGCAGAGAGCGACCACAAGGACCAGAAGTCAAGAGAGGTGAGGAGGTCTACCGAGCTGAGGGGCCACCATGAGGTGCACAAGCAGGGCCTGCTGGTCTGTATTTTGTCCTGGCCACGTAACTTTGGCCAGGATGGCACTCTCCACCCTGCTCCATGAGAGAAGGAGATGTCCTAACACACAAGATAAACAAAGCAAGAGAAGGACGTGCACTATAATAAGATTTGTAACACATCCCGTTTGATGTGCTTTTAAGAATCTCTAAGCTACTCAGAAGAATTGGATTTAAATAGACAGCTGTCATCCTTGTTATGTCTTTGTTACCCAACTAAAATTATCTTTTTTTTTTTTAGCTTACAAAAGTTCCACAACGTGACTATTACAAACTGATCTTGCCATTATCTTTCATGGGAGTGATGATTTTGATGGTAATTTTCTGCGTAATTAAGGTAAGGATAAAAATTGATTCAGGTTTCCTGAATGCATCTTGTCTTTGTATGATTCAGAACCATGAACAGAAAACCCAGGCCATGTTGCCCTTTCCTCCTGGACATTCCTCTGTAGTTTAGTTTAGTTTCTTTGTTGTTGTTGCTGTTTTGTAACAGGGATCAAACTTGGGACCTCACACTTACAGACAAGTACCTGCACCACTGAGCTAAATCCCCAGTGCCGTTCCATGTTAGTAACTCAGGTTGAAATAGTCTTTCTCTTTTACTTTAATATGATTTTCAGGTATGAGGATTGGTTTATCTTTTGAGATGGTGCCTTGCTGACCTTGAGCTCATTATGTAACCCAGGCTGGGCTCAAATTCACAGTGACCCTCCTGCCTCAGCCTCTGGAATGCCTGGTGTTCTCCAGGGATTTTTAAAGGAACTCCACTCCCGAAAGATCTCTGACGAGCTAAAACCAAGACAACAGGTCACTTGGGTACCTGGACAAGTTAATTTGATGGGCAAACGATGCCATGAAAGAAAATTTCCCCAACCCCAAACTACCATGTCGACAGTTTGATGTCCTCACTGATCTCATGCTCGCCATGCTCAAGCAGCTGTCATCACTCTAGGGAGAAGGGACAGCGCCACAAGACAGAAGTCTGTCTTCCACATTCTTTAGCTTTGACAGCTGCTGCTGTCTCCAGTGTGCGAGGCATTGTCTAATAGGTCCAGGTATAGCCCTGCCGCTGAGGCTTCTGTCAGGTCTCCCACAGCAGGTCCTGTTTAGAGCAGCCTCTTCCAGAGCTTGCCCCTGTTTGCTTTTTGCCTCATTATGTAATAGTTTATTATTTTACTTTTCATCTGATAGATTATTAAAGCGTAATTTCATAGTCTGACAAACTTTACTCTCCTTTTCCAACTAAATAAAGTATCCCTAATTTACATTTCCCACAGTTGTGGCAGCCTTCTGCCCCGGCCCCTCTCCATGCCTTAGTCATACCATCCCATTCCTTTATTTGCCTGTGCTCTGTCTATAAAGAATCCTTGTACTTCACCCTGCTTGTGGAAGTCTCACGAATGTGCTGAAAGCCAACTCAAGCTCGTCCTCCTTCATGCAGTCTTTCCTGGATGCGCTAGTTCTCCTGAGCCAGTCCCCTCTTAAGAGACTCATGTCCATTTCTCCTACCACGAGAATAGAAATATGCTACACAGGTTTTTGAAAGAGGGGCATCTAAGAGTGAAACACAAAGGTCAGCATGGAAAAAAGCTGGGTGTGGCGGTAAACACCTGTAAGCGCAGCATTTGGGAGACTGAGGCAAGAGGACTGCTACAAGTTCATGGGCAGCCCGTGCTACATAGCTCAGGGTCAGCCTGGACTACCGAGGTGCTGCCTCTGGGTCAGAACTATTTCTTGTGAGGTCGGGGCATTCTGATTTGGGGTCGGTCTTGTGAGACTGATGAGATAAGATTGCTCCAAAAGGAAGGAGTGAGTTCTCTTTTGGTGAGAGCAGACACTAAAATCTGAGCCCCAGAAGCAGGGCCAACATGGGGTAGGATGCTCGCAATCCAGTTGCAACAAAATCATGGAAGGAATTCAGTGCATTAACTGAGACACCACTCTAAAAGGCTGGTGAAGAGGTGCCACATGGCACCAATCCCAGCACTCTGGGAAGCTGAGGCAGGAGGATTCAAATTTCAAGTGCAGCCTGGGCAATTTACTGGTTTACTAAGACTTGTCTCAAAAAAATAAACCACCAAAAAATAAAAACACAAAATCTTGTGTGGGCTCAGTGCTGGGTGGAAGAGCCAGGGGAAAGCAGAGGTCCTGTCTGTCCATCTGTCTATCTACCTACCTGCCTACCTATCTATTTCATTGCAGAAGTCATGAGTTCAGTCCCTATTACTGGATAAAAAAATGTTTCTGCTTCATGCAAGACTCTTAAGGTGCTTTTGCAAAGTCAGTGAACTATGACTAGTAGGGTAGAATTCCATCTCTAGGAAAGTTCTCATCACACAGAATATCTCAGACTAAAATTAATAAAAGGAGTGAATGAAAATCGAGAGATAGAGGTGGATTCTCAACACTTTTTTTCCCCAAAACAGATGCGTTGTCATAGAAGAGCTTTACCAGACGTTGAAAAGGCCTCAAGGTAAATATGAGTCTGCCGATTTTTATTTATTTATTTTTTATGTATTTACTTTTTGTCTTTTTGAGATAGGGTCTCACTGTGCAGTTCAGACTTGAGCTCACTTTGTAGCCCAGGCTGGTCTCAAACTTGCAACCATCACCCTGCCTCGCCTCCCCAGTGATGGGATTACAGGCATGCATCACCATGCTCAGTTAGAGGACCTTTAAATGAGAAACTCATTACTAGCACTGGAGGAAAACCTAGAACTCAGCTATTTAAATCCCTGGATCTCTCAGAGCAGAGCCCACCTGGAGCAGAATAACCCTTCATTCCTGAGGTCTCATGTGGCTCCAAAGAAGCTGAGATGGGCCGGACAAGTAGGGAGGGACCTGCTGTCACCAGGCATCCCATACTGAGGGTAGAGGTGGCAGGTTGGGGTAGGCCTACTTCTGTGGTGGAGAGGCCTTTTGGGACTGCACAGGAAGCCCAGGTGCTAGGCAGGAGCTGGTGCAAGATGGAGTCCCTCCATCCTTCCTTGGAGGGGCGGAAGCTCATCTTCTCATGCTTCCGCTTCCCTTGTGAGCCTCCTCAGTTCTTTTACTCAAAATAACAGTGTGCGTCCAGGCTGGGCCAGGTGCAGAGGTCTCCCCCAGAGACCTCCTGAGGCCCTTGGTAACAGATGGAGCCTCAGAAAGTCCAGCATTGTGGAACTGTTTGCAAAACTCCAGGCCTAGTTTGAACTTGCCTATTTTGAGCATGGGGCAAGGTACAGGTTTTGTCCTAAAGAGACCTGAAGTGGGCATGCAGACTGAGACATGACAATGCAAATCACTCACTAATTGTCTTGCACGTATGTTTTCCCACAAGGGGCTTTTCTCCACATTGGCATGGAAGCTGCAAAGCAGAACAAATGAAAGAGGTAAACTGGAGAAGTGCTCAATGCTGGGGTGGAAGGGGCAGGGGAAAGCAGAGGTCCTAAGTCCCTTTCTGTTTTACAGAAGGCTGGTACTAGGTTTTATAGCCTACTTTTGCTCAGGGATATATACAGACCCATCAGTACCTCCCTGTCTTAGTTACTTTATGCTCGTGGCTGAGACAAAATACCTGATGCCCAAGTTGGGAAAGGAAAAGTTTATTTCTTACAGTTTTTGGAGGTTTCAGTCCACACTCAGTTGGATCCAAGACAGGCAAGCATGGCTGGGCTGCAGTTCATGGCGGCCGCCTACAGCAAACTCGAACCAGCAAAGAGAAAGACACACTTTCTTCCTGCCATTACATCACATCCTGGCTCCACCCCATGTGGATGGAGCACTGACACCATCAATCCAAGCACTATACAATGAACCATCACAAATGAACAATGCAAACTCATGAGGCCTGGGGGACACAAACATAAATCATGACACTCCCAAATGAGAAGAATGGAAGCCAAGCTACATGATGAATCCTCTGAGGAGGATGAGATTTTCACAAACCCTACCCTGTAAATGCCTTGGGATGACTTAAGGTTCTTGTCTAAAATGAGGGGGCAGGGAAAGTTTCACTGCCTTGGTATTGTTCTCCAGGTACCTGTGTGAAGTCATCATAGAAGGAGGGCTCACAGAGTCGAAGATCAAAGATGACTAAGCCCTTCTGGCTTCAGCAGTGATTGTAAATAGTTTGCCATAATAAATTACCTACTGTTTTATATACATTTTATATTTTTTATATAACTTTTAGCTATATGGTGAGAAATTAAATTGCAAGTAGTTAAGTATGTGCATGCACAGAACAAGAGCAGAGGCAAAAAACGGTTGGGGTAAAGCTTGGATCCTTTGTGGCTGTCATGCTTCCAGGAGAGGCAGCGTGGTGGCCTCTCACCCTCATCACCCAACACAGTCAGCCTCTGCAACCAAAAGCACATTCTCCACAAGCAGGGCGGATTCTCAGTCAAATCGCTATTGTTCTCATGCACTCTCCTGTGCTTTAGGAGAAGCAGTTACACAGTGGTGTAGGGGAGCACACCCCTCTAACCCCAGCACTCTGGGAGGGGGAAGCAAGAGGATCACAAGTTTGAGCCCAACCTGGGCAAATTAGTGACTCAGCAAGACCCTGTCTCATAACCAAAAATAAAAGAAGGCTGGTATGCACCTATCACAGAGGGCTTAGCTCAATCTCCACTTACACAAAAAAGAATGAGCCAATCTAGTCCCTGTATACCTGGCCTCTTGCCAGCAGGACTGTCCACCTGCTTACCTTCTAGACCTTCTTCTCCTAGGATGCTGGGGTCACCACAGTATTTCGATTACTGGGCCTGCTGGCCTCGGGTGAAGTCCTATCTTTTGGCCCAAGTCTCGAAACTCATGTATGAATGTGTATGCCATCTTTGTAGCAGTTCTCCATCCTTACAAGCTGGTAGAAAATACCCATTGGTTTTTTGTTTGGTTGGTTTTGTTTTGTTTAAATCCCAGCCATTGGCCAATTAGCACAGAGGTGTAGAGAGGTAACATTAAAAAAAAAAAAAAAAAAAAAAAAGAATATGTGAGATCAGTCATTTCCCAGATGGTCCATCTTGGGCACTGATTTTAGATATAGGTTGGGCCACTTATCTTTTTACTCGTGGACTGCCCCAGCCCTCCTGACCCACCGAGGGTCATGTGTGTGCTGCTTTGTTCCCTCCAGCAGCTCTGTCCAGACTTACACCTACCTTCTTCCTGCCCCATCCAATGCCAATCTGTATGATTCCAAGTGATAATTTGCAGATGAAGCAAGAGTTCCTCCACTGTATCTCCAACACAGAATTAATAAAGGATGCTTAGTACACAGGGGGAGGTAAGTACTTGGTGAGTAAAAGATCTCAGTGTACAAGAATTGAGAATCCACCTACTGACTGCAAAAGCATCCTGGCACCCTGTCATAGAAGGTGAGAAACAGCGCCAGAGGCTGCTGGAGTGACGAGCCTGGCAGGCACACAGCTGGCCAGTTGCTGCAATCCCACCCTCACCTGGCTGCCTACAAAGCCAGAAGTACTGGAGACTCTTTTTAAGTCTGAGCTTGCAAATGCACACTCTAGCTTCTACTTCATTCCATGACCAAAGCAAACCACAAGGCAAGCCCGAAGCTGGGAATTGAGAAAGGACCTTCTACGCTCCATGACACCATGGACACCAGCAGGGGTGAAATTGGGTGAAGTAATTCTGTCTCAAGGTGTGATGAGTCCTGCCTTAGACTTTGTTCAGCCTGGCCCACCCCCGGAGAGGTCACTTGAGAATGCAGCAGGTGCCTAGTGCTGAAGAAACCCAACCACGCTTCTCTACTAGGTCAGGAGCCCTAACAAGGCAAGGATCAATTTCCTTCCTCTCCACATGGCCCACTACATGTCCCCCAGTTCCTAGGACCAAGCCCTGCCCTTGGGCATGACTCGGGAATATGAGTGACTGTGTGAATTAAGATTGCTGCTTCTACCTACACATGGGACTCCACATGTCACCATACGCTTATTGACCAAAGGCCAGCAGAGGGTGCTAGCTATTTGCCCCCACTCTGTGAAGAGCCTGTAGCACTGGGGGCTGAGATCTATCCAGCATCAAATCCTGTACTGCTGTCCACATGGACCTTCAACAAGGACTCAATGCCAAAACAAGTTAGTGAAACTCCTTTCTGCACAGGCCATTTAAGACTGAAAAACTTCCGGTCGTGAAGTTATAAGAGGAAGGCTGTTTAAGGGCACTGATTGGATCACTGGGGATGGTGGTATACATCTGGCATCCTAGCACTTGGATCCTGAGGCAGCAGGATTCTGAATTTGAGTTCAGCTTAGTGAAAACTTGTCAAAAAATAAAATGAAAAGAGGCTGGGATATGACTCACTACAAGGGTCCCAGGTTCAAGCCCCAGTACTGCCAAAAATGACATAAAACAAAAGTCTCTCAGGGGTCCACATGGCTTAAGGACAACTAAGGCAGAGATTCACCATGCAAACTTTATCACTGGCCAAGTGTGGTGACACACCCCTGAAATCTTAGCACATGAGAGGCAGGCTAGCCTGGGCTACATAACAACTGCAAGGCTGACCTAAACTAGCCAGTGACAACCTATCTCAAAAGGCAAACAACATCAAAATGAAAAAACCACCACTGTCCCTACTTCCAAGCATTTTGGCTGCTCTCATCAGACAAAGGTAAGGCCAGTCCTGTATGTTCTATGTCCATGGTGGCCTTCCCCAGAGACCTTAATTTTTCAAGGAGATTCAGAGAGAACTGTGATTAATACTAACGAAGGCCACTGTCACCACGACAGGGACCATGGTGGCGAGTGTGTTTTCGGGCCATGATTCATGGTCACTTGTTTCCCCTGATTGTCAAAAGGGGACCCATGCCAAACAGCCTCAGACCCAGGCTGACAAAAGTGACACTGTAGGGAATCTAGGGTGGTTATGAGGCATCTTAGGTACAGTATGTGGCAAATTATTAAAAAATGACGGCCCATGACATTACAGGCTGAATAAGAGATTGCCTTTGTGAATTACAAAGGAAGACAGCAATATCTCACTTCATGAATGCATCGGTTTGAAAAGTTTGATTTGCAACCAAAATTTTTGGCAAAATCTAGCTTCCATTCACAAACTCCACATCAAGTGACAAGCATTACTGTGGCCATCTTCCCTACACAAGCAGGAATGCAACCAAATTCATCACAGATCATTAAACAAGTGAAGTTCATAAACCAGTACCACTGTATTCTGCTTCTGGAAGGCTTGAGTGGACAGCTGGGAAAAGTAATGCTATATAATTTAGGCTGGTCTTGTCCTAGTGCTTCTCCTGCCTTAGCCACCCCATCCCTGGCTTTAAGACAATGTTTTCTAGAAGTTTTTCTTTTTTTTTAAACAAGGTAGTCTGGAACAATTTACCTTCAAGATAGAGGCATTCGTAAGTGGCCAGAAACAAGGTAAAGTGTTTAGTATGAGCTGCATATTGTGGGTTATCTGTAGAGTTGTGTGGCCGAGTATAAGAACCATTAGGCACCCTTTCACTGTTGAAATATAAAGGAATAGAAATTAAGTAAAATTTAAAAGACAGCTCCAGGGGGCTGGGGATTTAGCTCAGCGGCAAAAGCACTTGCCTTGAAGCAGGCAGTCTTGAGTTCGATCCCTGGTACCAATAAAAATGAAAAAGACAAAAAAAAAAAAAAAAAAAAAAAAAAAAAAAAAAAAAAACACAGCTCCTAAGTCACACCAGTCACATTCCAAGAGCTTAGTGGTACCATTCTCGACAGCAAGGTAGATCTTTTGGTATCACAGTTCTGGTGGTCCTCACTAGTACAGGATACCCTGGAGAGGGACACACAAGACACTGGAAAAGGTCATCCTTCAGACAGGGCAACTGGGAGGCTGCAGTGCCATGTCACTGGTTATATCTTTCAAATTATGTAGCATTTTTTTTAGGTGATGAATGCATGAATAAAATATCTGAAGCTTGGTACCATGGCACATGCCTTAATACAAAGTACTCAGGAGGACTTAGCAGGATAATCAAAAGTTCAAAGCGACTTGGAGAACTCAGCAAGACCCCATCAGAGGAAGAATGACCCTGGACTCAGTCCACAGGATCAAAATAAATTCGGAATCGGCATTGGCTACATTGGCACACCGGCTATGAGGGCTCACTGTTCTGGGATAGGAGTTTCCAGGAAATAACTTTATAATTTACCTACAATAAAATAAGCTCATAGACTTTATAACTTTACATTCATCTTTTTCCTCATAACTTAAGACCTGTTAGCTCCTGCCAATCTCTCTCTGCACAAAGGAACTCCTGACAGAAAAGTGAATTAATCAACAGCAAGAAAACATTAAAAGAAAAAAGTTGCACAGCTGTCTTGCCCTTTTTCTCTCTCAGCAATGTGTGTGTGTGTGGTTGTGATTTTATTCCACGTGAGTAATCGGCTGTCACAGTTCCTACTGGGAAGGGTGCTCCAGGCTCTGTAACAGAACTAAGTTTGGTGGTCTGTCTACCTCCCAACACCCTGGCTCCTGAGCCAGTCTGAGGATTAGGGAAACAGAGGACAGAGGTCCAGCAAGGAAGCAACCTATATCCAAGCCAGTTAAGTAAGGCGGGAATGGGCTGGGGAAACATTGACACCAAACTGTAGTCTGAGGGAAAGAGCCAAACAGCCCAAAAGGGGATCAGAGAATACAGATGTACCTGCTGAGGAAAGTGACTCTGGAGAAGTGATCTCCTGTCCCTGCAGATTCTTGGTGGGACCATCAAGGCTGGAGAACATGGAGTGGTGTGTGCAGAACAAATACTGTGTCCTCCACCAGTGCGTCTGTAATTATTGTCTGATTAATAGGAAGTATACAGTGTGTGTATGTATGTGTGTGTGTGATCTCATTTAACTCTTACAGCTTTCTAAAGAGTACATCTTACCCTTCTAATTAACAGATAGTACACAGGCTGAGGAATAGATGAGCTGTCCAACTTCACACCTGTGTTTGTTAGGACTCTGTCCCCAGCTAAAAATCACACTTCAACAGTGAAGAGTCCTACATGCTCAGGACTGACCACATCCATCTACTTGGCCCTGTCTGCCCCTCTCCTGCATTGCCTTCCATGCTGGGTGCCACTGTAGCAGGACCAGGTCCCGAGTCTGCAAGATAGGCAGCAGTAATTCTCACCGGACACAGCACTGAAGAAAACGGGTCTAAGCAAA